TATTGCTATTCGGCGAATTCGGCAGCGTGGGGCGCATCCAGTGCAAACGACGCTGCGTTTCAGCGGCAGGAGAATTTCGGTCGGTGTAAGAAGTGGATGGTTCAGTGTGAACTAGGCTTAAGAGAGTACCACTAAATTGAGTGTTGGTATGGTGTTTTTTTTTTTTTTCAAGAATCTTTACCAATTTTTTTAGTATTGCTACTACCGGGCTTGTGAGAAGAGCCTCTCAGAAACATAGATCATCATTATTTTAACATGGTAAAATGAAAAAAAAAAAGATTGGATTCGACCTTGTATAAGACTAGGTATTTGTTCTGGAGCACAATCCTAAATGTCTGTGCCTTTTCTCAGAGTGCACACTCATTAACTGGCCTCTGGTGTACCGATTTCTGCTGTTCCTGGGTGAATTCAAAGATTTGTAATCCTATGGCCGCTGCATCGTGCCTTGCCAAGCACTTCCACATCCAGCACAATGCTAGGGTGTGCGCACCGTACGGTGTGTGCTTCATTCTTAGCTTTGCCACCAGGGTTCCTCCATGTCCACTTCTGATCTCCTATCTCCAATAGAAATATTCAGCATCCATAAATTGTTGTGTTCTGCGATACTGAGTAGCCCATTTATAGCGAACCCCACTTACATTGAAATAGTGGTTATAAGAAAGAGATATTGATTTGCCATTTTAATTTCTGCACCTTCGATGTCTTTTAGGTCAAGTTTTAGAAAGTAGACACACCTCAGCAGACATAGTGAAACAGTTTTTTCCAGAAAAAAGAAAAATAATTCCTGTGAGACATCTTTTTGCGTTTTTGTTTGATTAAAAAAATTGCAGTTTTGACACAAGGCCGAACCAATGAATGCGATACAACACGTCAAACTGTTATCCAAAGTAAGGCTAGGAGATTTAGAAAACATACAAAATGTAGTGAACACAGTCAAATGAATGTGCATCGAGCTGCAGCGTTTCTTGCATGCGCAGCAGCACATTCTTTCTGTGTCTGGGGGCTTATGCATGCTCCCCCTGCTTCAGCGCGATTAGCATTTTATTGGAGGCCACAGGTGTTCGTGCGACATGCGGCGGCATCACAAAGGCCGAACCACATACCAAGTTTTCACCAGCGTTTGTCCAGCGTTTTGTTTCTTGGCGTCAGTTCTCGCCAACAGTACCGGTGACTGTAGCGAAAAGTAAAGTTCCAATGCACTTCACCAAAACGTCCATCTCAGATTGTCCCAGACATTGCATTGTGGGCGTCAATGCCAGAAGAAGCTGGATGATAGGAGCAGCTTGCTTGCTTGCTTCTTCCTTGATATATGGCTCCCACCCACGACGAGGGATTGGCCATGAAACAAGCGTTTGATATAAAAAAATTTTTATGTTTGAAAAGGAATGAGGCAGAAATTGATCGCCACAGGGATAAACAAAAATTTTTGAATATTTACGCGTGACTGGATGCCAATTTCGCCGGTCTAAAGCCTCATCGCTGATGTGAAAATGGCTCATTTTTCTATACAAGATCTGACAGCAAAAAGGACTCATGATTATTTTAATCTCTTTTCGAGAACTGCGCTCATGTTAATTGGAATGCTTAGCATGAATGGCTATATTTGCCGGACACGCGACAAAGGATGCCAAATCACAGAGGCCGTATAGTACAAGCTTGTGTTTTTTCTTGAAGTATCTACAGGTGACGCTACAAGCAAAACAATGAGGCAGAAACGTTTTGGCAGAACTAGCTATCTAATTTTACGTGCTGCATAACTACTAGCGAGACATTCGAACTTTGCTCAAGAATGTTTCTTGTCGGTCTATTGATATTAAGCAAGTGGTAAATGGTGCATAGGTATACTCGCCGTTCGTTAGCTAGATGGATACATGAGCGGTGTGGTCTGGTTTGTTGACGCAGTGCACTCAGGAGCAAGGTGTCGCTGGTTCAAATCCCCAATAGGGCTCCTTGGAATTTTTTTCTTCTGATTGATTTTTCTGTAAGCCTGTTATACATTTGTATCCCCTATGCTGCTGCATCACACTACCCCAGTTGTTCAATTTTATAAAATTCCTGTCAAGTGAAAGTATGCATGCTTGTATTGTCCTTTTTATGTATAGAAGTTGTCTTCCTTTGGAAAAATAACTAGTTGTGTGAAATTAGTTCATAAGACACAGTCACTCGATTATGGTACTAAAAATTTGATTGAGAAATTCCTAGCATTCAAGCCTGATTGGTGCAAGTTGTAAAAAGTATGAGTGGGTGTACTATGTAGTTTCTGCTGGTTTCAGCTGGGCTGGGCTGCTGCAGATGTGTCTATGCCTTCTAATGAGCAATAAAAATTTGCATGCTTTGAATATTCTTTAGAGGACACGGCAACAGCCTCTTCACAAAAATCATCTCACATTTTACACATGTATTGCAGCCTAATGCCTAGTGAACTTAGGATAGCGATGGTGATATGGCCTTGTCTAGACTGTCACTTTGAATTTTTTTTGTATTGAAATGTGTGAAAGTTTTGAGTCTCTTTTTGCACGATTAGTCTCTTTTTGCACTTTCAGTTAATTTAATTTGAGAATAAAATGATTGATCTCACTTTAACAAAGAAATTTCACTCAGTGTGAATAAATTGTGTTCGTCTAACAAACTACTGGTTCAGACTTAGGTCATTAATAATGCGTCCTTTTATGCTACGTATTTGTCTGTGCTGAAAGAAACAGTTTCGCAGATAAGTTGCTGCAATACTTGGCAGTGTAACTTAGATTTATCACTGCGACATTATGTGTCGAATGTGACATTCTATTCCCTGTCATCAATATGCTTTCATTGTGCAAGATATAAGCAATTATCTGAGAATGACTGTGTAGGGGACTGTCATAATATTTTTGAATGTTCAGCATTGTTTTCCTTGTCACCATTATGCCTTCATTGAAGCAGTATAGAAACATAGTGTCAAATGTGCTAACTGTGGCATTAATCTAAAGAAACTGCTGTTAGTCTAGTGAAGATCTTTTTTTTTGTAGTTTTGACAGCCAATAATCAGTGGCGTAACAGCTGTGCCATTTGGGCCATTGTGCACCAAACTTTTTCACCTGCCCAGTTCTGCGCCAAACTTGTTTATCAGCACCGTACTGCGCCGTAGCACCTGAATTTAGCCGCAAGGTGTGACGGCCATCAAGTCCTATGCCCGAAAATGCGGCTGAAACATCGTGTGTTCAGTATTATCAAAATTGTTATAGTTTCGGTTTCGTGAAGAAGGCAGTGATAGATCGAGCAGCAGCCGTTGACATTGATCATAACGTTTTGATCGCAATCGCTGACGCGGTAACTCTCAGGCATCAGTGCATATGGCTTGCAAACCCATCCAAGTGCTGTGCTCTCAATGTAAAAAGACTGCGTGAAAAAAGCATCTCTTTATGGCATGGCGTTATACTCTTACAGCAGTGTTTTGTAGCGCTGCACGATATCATATAAGAAGTTTTGTTGAACTTGATGGCAGCATTAATAAAAGCAGAAAAGGGTGACGGTAATGGTGCCCAAAGGAGGAGGATGGTGTGCGGTTCCCGGAAGAACAGCCTAGCAAAAAGAGAGCACAGGACTGCTCATAGAGCGAAAGTGCGCATTCTAGGTCATTTCGCCACTGTGCTCCATTATACAACGTTTATCGACTAAGTGGTTCCTGCTCGCCTGTTCAGGCTACAAAAACAAAAAAACGCGGTACATAGCTTAAGAAGTCGCACTTCCACCGCAAGGGGCTAGAAATGGATGCGATAGCAACAAATATTGTAATATTATACGAACTGAGGCTGAAAGCCAACTTTTTTAGATCCTTTCTAACACAACTCTACAAAACGCTCCTGTAAGAGAACAGGGCCACGTCAAAAAGAGCAACACTTCTTGCGCAGTCTTTTCGCGATGAGAGCGCATGCAGCGGCTAATATATGCGAGCCGCCCGTTGATGGCTGCCGAGCTAGAACACGTGCCAATGCCTTTCTAAGCAATGTTCTCAGTTTTTGCCTAAGCGACCTCTCACCTCTCTTCGCGTCTTCACATGGTCGTTCAAGACAGGCGGGGTGCTTCGACCAGAAGCATCCCGAGCGGGTGATCTCATGTATACACCCTTTCAGTGACGATGGGTTGGCTCGTTATATTTCTGGTTAAGCTGTATTCTTCGCCTCTGCTCGCGTGCGTATACCTGTGGGTATAGCATACGATGGGCAGAGGCATGTTATCGAATCAGACTTTGTACTTGATATGATGGCAACGGCAAAAACTTGCAGAGAATGTCCATATAGCTATCGCACAGTTAAGCTTAGTGTTAAATAAAATGCCGCATTGGACAAATGCTGTTTCATGTGTGCTGTGCAATAGGTGACATCTGCTCTGAATGTTCTCTGTGACTGCTTCAAACCTTCTCCAAAATGTCTCTTTGGATGCTCCAAGCCTGCTACAAATGGCACTTTTGCCTGCTGCCAGGACTGCTCCTAAACCCACGTACCCTGTTCCACTCCTGAATACTTGTGATGCTATTTTAGCTCTTATATATTTTTTCTTTTCTTATATTTTCTACTTTAATTCATTTTAATTTTTTGTGCTCACATTTTATTTATTATGCTTCAGATGTTTCAATGTGAAGTGGCTCTTTTGCTGTCCAGTCCTCTATGGATAACTTTGTGGGAAAAAAGCACTATAAGTAATTAAATGTGTTGATGTTTATTTATGCACATTAAAGTCATTAGACACTTTAAATATAGTATAGGAAAGGCATATAAATCTGTTTCAATTTTCTGGGCACCCTGCATAGTTTTTATGTGCACTTAGATTGTAATTTTCATAAAATATGCTCGTGTCTGCGCTGCAGCTGTGAGAGTAGCTTTTGTTCTGACGAGACTAGTTGGTCATTTACTTCACTTGCAAGTGGACTAACCATTTTGTATTGCCGTATACTGCAGTTCATTTTCATGTAGTGCATGACAAATAATTTACACATTCTTTGTGCTATCTTGATTGGTTCGCAGGACCCTTGTCTTCTGCGTCCCTAAAGCAGTCTTTGTCAGTGTCTCTACAAGATCGACTGCATTCCTGCCAGCAGTGCACCTATGTGACCCTGGACAAGTCAGCTATGGATACACATCTTAAAAAACATCCTGTACGTCCCGTACAGTGCCGCTTGTGTCCAGCGGCATTCACTTGCAAATCCAAGCTGGCATCGCACATGCGGACCCACACAGGAGAGCGCCCCTTTTCCTGTGTCCATTGTAATGCATCTTTTTCGAGCCGGAGCACCCTCAATACCCACATAAGCACTCACACAAAAGAGCGTCCCTTTTCCTGTGTCCAGTGCAATGCATCGTTTTCGCTGAAACGCATCCTTTTATCTCATATGCAAACTCACGCAACAGACCGTCCCTTCTTCTGTAAACAGTGCAATGCATCTTTTAAGCATAAATCCAATGTTTATGTACATATGCGCTCTCACAAGGGAGTGCGTCCCTTCTCTTGTGCCCACTGCAATGCAACCTTTACCCAGAAACATGACCTCGTGAGACACATCCGCATTCACACAGGAGAGCGTCCCTTTTCATGTGAGCTCTGCAATGCATCCTTTATTACTAAATACTACCTTGTTCAGCACATGCGAACTCACACAGGAGAGCGTCCCTTTAGCTGTGTCCACTGCAATGCAACGTTTTCGCAGAAAAGCACCCTTAATGGACATTTGCGTTGTCACACAGGAGAGCGTCCCCACTCCTGTGTTTACTGCAATGCATCTTTTTCACGAAAATACCACCTCACAATGCATGTGATTAGTCTACATGGAAAGAAGTCTTAAATGTGAGGGGTGTAGGGTAGCGACCGTTGCCTTATCCTGTGCTTGCTGCAGTGCATCCTTTGTGCAGAAATGCCACCTCGTGAAACACATCTGCGCTCACACAGGAGAGCATCCATTTTCTCGTGTCCTTGTCTATGCATTGTTTTCGCAGAAATACAGCCTTGTTATACATACATGCTTTCACTCAGCAAAGGATGCCGACCCTTGCATCCCCTCCGATGCACCTTTATCACAAAAGCACCACCACACAAGGAAAGAAGCCACAATGCGAGAGTTGTACGGGCTTCCCTTTAGAAAGGGTTTGTATAGCAGGGAGTCAGAGTTTGTTGTTTAAAAGTTAGGAAGGATGCTTAGTTCGGCAACTTTAAGAGAGAATGGCACGAAGTTGTAGTAGAGAAATGGAATAGTGAATGAATAAATAGAATAGAAAGGCCAGTTCGCCAGAGGTTTTAAAACGGTAACATGTACCTATGTGGTCGAGTGGACTTATAACGATATCGTTTATTACGGTATATGAGATAGGACGCTGAACAAGGGTGGCACCATTCTCTTTACTGTGGTAAAAGCATCCCCTTTACTTTGCTAAAATAAACTGCTTATTATGATGCCCCAGTGCCGCTATATTGCCACGTTTCATTCCTCAAGCTTTGTTATCGCCCCAAAACACTACATAATTCTCAGCGCAAACTGCGCCTGCAGTTTTCGAAAAGCTTTGGGACTGTAGTAGATCATTTTGATAAGATCACGCCCACTCCACGAACTGTATAGATTATTCTGGAACACTCGTCACCACCAGCGATAACGCTAGAACATACGATGGCAAGAGTATAAATGCCGACGCACTTCGCCGCTTGTCAGTAGTTGATCGACGGCCGACGCTCCGTTCAATGCTATCTGTGCAAGACTGCTACTGTAATCGAACTTTCCGTTTACCGAGCACAGGTTCGCCCAAATAAACAGTTAAATCCCAACATAACGTCTCCTGTCTTCGGCCACGTCATGACCTCGTTACAATATTGAATTGAGCGATTCATTCGGGCCACAGCACTCGTGGGAAATGAGTCTCCACACCGACCGCGCAGTGCTGTAGATAGTTCTCAGAGCGACAGCTCCAACGATGCGGTTCAGCAACCTATACCTAGGCACTGTCATCACTAGAGGCCCACTCGAGCCCTCGCTTTCGCGAAGGACATCCTACTCGGCTACTTGGAGCGCATAGATGCTTTTGCAAATCATGTGTGCCAGCTTTGCATAAAGCAGTTAGAGCTGACTGGCTATTTCTCTTCCACAAACGAGTTGTACTCAATTGCTTCATTTTACTTGTATGTAAATGAGCGAATGAAATGTTGCCGTATCTAATTACAAGTTCTAACAATGGGATTTTTCGGCACTTTTAAGTTGACTGCACTGTGTGCGTACCACACACACACACACACACACACACACACATACATACATACATACATACAGTTAAAACATGCTCTGAGCATCGATTCTTGTCTTTTATATGAGATGTCTCTTATTAGCAGGGTACCTCGTATGCACTTTCTTGTCAACCTGTATTTTATTGTTGGCACAATGGTGACTCTTCTACCCATCCATCTCTTATGAAAAGGTTCAACTGTATATATATATATATATATTGAAGCAAACTATGTATCAAATAAAAAAAAAACAGGTGGTTGTGAATTTTATCGGAAGAACAATGCAGTAATGTCTCATATTGATTGCCCTTTGTTTTCATCACTCCACATAAATGTTGACCCACTGGGATCAAAATGTTTTGCAAAACGAAACCAAGTTTACAAGTTATGAAAAATACTGAAACTGAAGCATTTATTGGCAAATGCTAATTTGGATGCTGCACTGGATCTCACGGGCAACCTGCATAAGATTCTCATGGGGTCACAACAAAAGATGCCCAAGGAGATTTAAATTACTGATTACTTTCCATTTTAGTTTGATTAACTCTAGCAATAAATAAATATGTTGTGGAGCTTAGATAGCATCACATATTTTCATATTAAGGCTCACTACTGATATGAATTCATGTTTGTGCTTATTTCTGGCATATAACTGATTGAGCAATTAATTCTGGTTGCTGTTAGAGATCCATGAATTTACAATAAAATCATCTGCTGTGAGTGTGGAACAGTTCCTAGTTCCAAATAACGAGTCTACAGGTGTCTTCTTTGGGTTCCGCAGGCGGAGTGTGGTGCACTGTCCATTCATTCTAGCGCATGCCTGCTTATTCGAGCTCTGCTTAATCCAATTTTGTAGTTTGCTTCAGGTTCGAATTAAAGAGCTTTTTTTATATTACTCCCAGTTTTCTTCGATCATTTATGTAATGTATCACTCTAATCAATCACTTAAAAATGGGCATCCTGGAAAGACTTTTTCAAAAATAACTAGGGCTACGGATATACGAGCTTGACAAGAATAGCCGGGCTGAGACGAAGACCATTAATTTACTCTCTGTATCGACAACCTATGGCACCGAAAGGCTATGTTTCATTTCTATGCCTACTTATCTAAAACTTTTGGCAGAGTGCATGCGTCTTTGGTATTACCCAAAAGTTCTAATGAAGAACTGAACAAGTGAAAATGGGTCGGTAGCATAAAGAGACCGAAGTGAACATTTTAACTAATTCATGAGCATATAGTTTAACACTCGGGTGTCTCATGACAGAGTATGCTGTGTCAAGAAGCCTAGTGAAACAGAAACAGGACCTGTCATGTGCGGTGTCTCAAGAATATGCATGTGGCAGTATTACGATACCCGTTTTTCTGTTTTGGCTTGGAAATTGGTCGCTTATCTTTTACGCTCCCTAGGAGATATCTCAGATTGTTTGTTAGTCCATTTAGTGCCTGAACATCGTAGGGTAGGATAACACGTACAGGGTGTTCACTCATCGAAAATACATACAGCACAGAAGGAGGTTTCCTAGGGCACGACACCAGCTGCAGCAGCGACGCCAACAGAAATACCAATGCCGGGAGTAAGTTTTCAAGCTTTTAGTTGGGTCTCTTCTCGCAACTCAAAAAAGAGACAACTACAGACCTTTGAGAGGTACCATGTCGATCATCTACTCTCTGGCAGATCCAGAGGTGGGGCAAAAGGGTTAAAGGCCCCCTTCCCCTAGCCTGTGTCAGTACTCCCCTTTCTTCAGTGGTTCCCATCTCCTATGACCAATCAGGACATACGAGTGGGACCATTGTGAGCTCTCATTAACTCTGTTATGACCATCAGCAGTTATGTCTTCAGAAGAGTTGAGAAAAAATGCTGACTGTTTTTACTCATCTTGTATTGTTCATTTTAAGAAAAATATGAATGAAATTTTGTTTGAGGCATAACTTACTAATTATGGAAATGATTAATCACTATCGTATAATATGTAAGTCACTTTACCTTCATAACATGTAAAATCTGCTACAGCTGCTCATCACGACACCTGCAATAGATTTTCGTAGCTTTGTTGAGGTACTATATTCAATGTATATGATACAGTGGGCATTAAAGGGTTAAGAGTCCTTATACTGTGATAGGGTTTTCGTGCTAGTAAAAATGAAGTAGTCATGACTGCGCTCTCATCGGTGTAACTTCAAGCAACCAGCCTGATCCCCCCCCCCCCCTACGCCCTTAAATTATGTGGCTGAAATTCTTCCCTGCGTCCACTTCTGTTAACCCTGCTTCCTGGTAGAATACCAACTTCCCACACGTGTAAGCGCATTGTCTTTACGAAGTTTTAAAATGTGGGGAGTCTGGCTGAAAATGTGATGTAAGTGTAAATAACAGTAACATATGTGCTCTACAGCACATTGAACATTCATGGAGAACATATAAAAAGTTTTCTGTAAGCCTTTCAAACCCACATGAAAATGGGATGTCCATTCCCAGCTGAAAATTCGGTTTGTAGCCTAGATTTTAGCTGGAAACGACTATTCAGGTGGAGAATTCCCCATTCCCAACTGGAAATGCCAATTCTTGCTGGAAATAGTATCTCCAGGCTGGAAGTACAAATGATTCCCAACTGGAAAGCCGTTTTTGTCGAGCGCATCGGGCAAGTGACAAAACAGCCATCTACTGGTACTGCCGCACACTACACCTCCCCCACAATAAACTAGGACATAATACATGAACCAAAACATTTGGGCTGAAGGAAAAAAAATGTTCACAGGTCGAGTCATTTCGGTCAGCAGATTCTCCTGCCGGATTGCGACATGCGTGGCATAGCAGCACAACCCTGAGGTTCTTCTGTAGTGGAGGTGCTTTCGTGAGCTCGTCTTGGGTTGCTTGGTCAGCCCCTGTTCGCCTCGGGTCTTGACAGTGTAGTCTGGGTCTGGGCTGCCACGGGTGTTGCAGGCGGGCTGGCCGTGAGTTCCCCAGGATGTCCTGTCATTGGCACCAGGTGCTTCCGGTTGCACTGGAGTATCCTTGACCGAGTCTCCACCACGTGGGAAAGCGGCGTTGAGCTGGCTCCAACACTGTCGCTGGGGGGTTAACGTCTTGAACCCAGACCCGCTCTCCTGCCTGCAGAGGCCACAAGGTGTGAGCGGCGTGCCTTCGATTGAAATATGACGTTTGGTGCCTTCGGTTGTCTTAGTCACGTTGATTGAATGGGACTGAAAGAGGCCGAGCTGGCTCTAGCAGTTGCAACATCTTCGGCAGCCGTGTCTGTAGGTGTCTATCTATGAGCAGCCGAGCAGGGCTCGCTCCATTTATACCTTGGGTGTACCGATATGCTAGAGGTGCCAGGTAGGGATCATCCGCCTTCCGCAGCAGGTCCTTGACTCTCCGCACCATCCGTTCCACCTCCCCGTTGACTGCGGAAAAAAGGGGGCTTCTAGTGACGTGGCAGAAGCAGTAGAACTCTGCAAAGGCAGAGAATTTTTTTGCAGCACGCTGAGGACCATTGTTACTGTGCACAAGCCTCAGAATCCCATGTCGTGCAAAAACACTCTTCATCGCATTGATGACCGCAGGTGCTGCGGTTGAACGCAGGCTGATGACTTCCAAGAAGCCCGTACGGTTATCCACCAAAAGGACAAAGTCTTAGTCGTTCAGGTGAAAAGATCGATGCCGACCCCTCCTCAAGGCAGAGTTAGAGTGGTTGACGCCAACATAAGTTCCGAGCGCTGCAGTCTGGTTTCGGGGCATGCGGAGCAGTTCAACAGCAGTGTTTCTATCTGGTCGTTGATGCCCAGTCATCAGACTGACCCCAGAGCTAAAGCTTTGTATCGGTTGATTATTTGATGCTCGTCATGGAGGAGCAGTACTGAAGCAGCAGACTGTACTCGCTGTCATTGGCTTAGGCCTGGCGTAGGTGCTTGAGTTGTGAAGAGACGATGTCATGGTAGGAGCGGATGACTTCTTGGGCAAAGAGCTCGACTTGATTCAGCCAGTTGGATGAAGGAGAATCCAGTGGTGCGGGTGAAAGCGTATCCGCAGTTGATAACAGCTTCCCCGATACGTAGAGTACTGGAAGCTCATGAGCTTTAAGCGAAACCTCTGGATCCAAGG